GATATAAATATAATTAATGACACACACACAATAAATGTATTGGATTAAAATGTGAAATGAAATTTGAATTTTCCTTTCCCTTAGCTTTAGAATCGACAATTTTGTGTTTGAAAAAAAGAAAAGTAAAATGATTTTTGCGATAAGATAATAAGTTGTGTGTAAATAGACAGAAAATTGAAATGAAAAAAAAATAACTGGATTCTCAAGAAAATAAATCTTTCAGGTTTTTCTCTCTCATTTCGTTTTACATTGATCAATAATAATATTGATGATGTTGTTGTTGTCGTTGTTTATGTTGATCATTTTGAATACATTAAACATTGTCGAAAAGATAATCATTGACCATGGCAATGAAAATTACCTTCTTTTTTTTATTCAGAAATTTATTTCAAGAAACAAACATGGTAAACAAAAAAAAAATTACTTACTACTTAATTAATTATAAATGAATGATGTTCATCATGATTGATTGATTATTTTAATTTGAAAAAACAAAACAAAACAACGAATAAATATTCTTATTTAAATGTGCGTGTAGGGTTGTGTAAAAAAACAAACAAAAAACATTTCGATGTATATCATTCATCATCATCAACAACACACGATACACATTCAAATCTAATAACAAAATAACAATAGGCAATGATTTTCTTTCTTTTTTATTTTTGATTTGATTAATTAAATAACATCACACATTTTATCAAAATGGAAAATCTTATCTTTATGAAAATGAAACAAACAAAAAAAAATACCGATCACATTTATTGACACATTTTTATAAGCCAAAAAGACATAACACATTTATCACACAATGATCTGCTTTTTTCCCATTTCAATATTTTCGATTTCATTTGATCCAAAAGTTTCGTATTCATATAGAAAATTCTTTTGAAGAATTTTCTTCATTATTAAAATATAACGGATTCTCGCATAGAATTAAAGGAAATGTGAAAGAAATATCTTTCATTTTATTTTTTCTTCACGAAAACAACAACAAAACAAATTAACTGAACAAAATGATTGAAAACAAAAATAAAATCAAAAACCAAAATCAAAACAAAAAAACAAAACAAAGTGGATAATAAGAAAACAAAATTGAATTAAAGATTTTATTTTTCGTTTAAAGAAGAAAAAGAATAATAGGATTCACAGGAGTAAAAAAAAATCAAAACAAAATAAACGAAAGAAATACGGACAATAAGAAATGAACAACTTGAAGAAATGTATTTGGATGGAAATCATAATACACACACACACACCAGATACCACAAAAACAAAACAAAAAAAATTGATGAAAAACGTTGATGATGATGATAATGGTAGTATTTTGCTAGATGTTGTGTGTGGTGATGGTGATGGCTAAAGGGGTTTCATTTTTTTTGGTTTGTTTCGTTTTTCGTTTCGTTGATCAAGGAAAGGAAATTGGATAGTACCAAAATGAACAAAATGAAAAAAAAAATATCATCCCAAAATGGATTTGGTTTAATTTCTTTCACTCTGTTATTGTGTGTGTGTGTGTGTTTTTGATTTTGTTCCGATTCAAATGTTGTTGTTGTTGTTGTTATTGCTGTTTGTTGTTGTTGTTGTTGTTGTTGACGTTGTTCAATTCGGGTCGTTATTATTATAGATAGAAGAACAAGAAGAAACCACCGACGACAACGTCGTCAATATTTGTACAAAAGCTTGAATTGCGAGTGTATACAAAATCAAATCTGTAAACCAAAATACAACAACATATACATGGAAACAAACTCACACACGCAGTCAAACCAGGCAAGAGAATCTAAATTGGCTGCTTTATTGGACATTTGATGATGATGGTTTGAGATATTTTTTTTTTTTTTGTTGAGAATCTAAAAGGAATGGCAATGGTTAATGATGATGAGTTGTGGTGGTATATAAAATTAACATTGTCGAATGAAAAGAATGATTGAAAAAAAAACGACGACTATAGAAGAAGAAGATGGAGAAGGAAGAAGAAGAAAAAAGCTATCAATGTCAATGAAAATTGTGAATTTGTATTTTGGGAAGAAATGATGATGATGATAATAATAATAATAATGGATTCACCGCTACAACATGCGGTAGAAGCAAATATTTTAGTAAAATATCAGCAGGAGCAAACAAAAAAAAATAACTTCCAATAAAAGATTTCCTATATAGAACCAAATGATAAAAAAAAACCTTGATGCGGCGTCATATCATTCGCATGTGGGAGCCAGAAATAATTGTGATAATGTGGAAACAACAACAACAACAAAAAAAGGAAGTGGTGAAATTATCCTCATATATAGAAACAAACACACACAGACACACACACAAACGATATATACCCGTTAATGTATTTTGGATACGTTTTTTTTTGTGTTCAATATCCCTTATATACCACCACTAGCATCAATATCAACATTAAAAATGATCGATCTTCATTTTTTATTTTCCCTGATGATTCCTAACGAATGAAGGTGATTAGGATTTTTTTTTTAAATATGACCAAATAACACTAAATTGACGCTTGCGTATATCATGTTTTTTCATGTTGTTTGATGACATGTAATACTACCAAATATATACAGTTATAAAATACGAAATCTTCATTATCATTACCAAAAAAAAAACGAAAAACGAAAAAACAAACAAAATGAATTACAGATTTTGCATCGTTATTTGAACATTCAATAATGATAAAAGAAAAGTTTTTTTTTGTAGTTCTATATTCTCTATAGAATGTGATGATTGCTTTTTTTGTTCAAATAATAATTTTGTTTTTTTTTTGAGGGAGAATTGGATTATCTTCAATAATAGATTAACCGGAAAAAAAGCTAATATTCAAAATCACATTGGGAAAAACAAAATCTATTGTCTTAATGTTGAATGTTGATTCCAACAGTTGTTTTATTCTTTTTCGTTGTTTCAATGATGGGCGCCATTCAGGTTTGATAAAATAGTCGAAAAAATTCATTATTTATCATGATGATAGTGGTGATGATGGTAGCAGCATTAATGATGGTATTTAATCGTTGATTATCCGTAAATTTTGGCTACCTATAGTGTTATATATCATCATAAATAATAAGAACAGTATACACATGGTATATAATGACAATAAAAAAAACAGCAACAAAAACAACAACAACGATAATAATAATAATAATAACTACACACAACGTCTATAGATCCATGAATTGAATATATGTTCCATACTTTTCAAATACGAAAAAAAAGCAACAACGAATGTTTGTGAAATAAGAAAGATATGTGCAAGCCAAATGAAAAAGAAAGAGAATGAAGGAAAAAAAGCGAAAGTTGGATAAAAAGAGAGAAAGACAGTGAAAAAAAAACAACTTGGCGCCCAATATAATCCAAACAACAACAAAAAAAAATCAATCAGAAAATAATTAAATAGTTGCCAGTAATAGAAATAAAAAGTTGTTCATTGATGATGGTGGTGGTGGAGGGAGGGAGGGAAGGAAAAATTCAAAAAAAAAAGGTAGCAGTTTTATTGACAATTTGATTTGAACATTGGGCAATTTGGATCTCAAAATAAAATTGAGAGTTTTTTTTTTATTTGTTGGTTTTCATTGAATAATGTTAATGAAAATAATAGGGAGAAATGTGAGAGTAAAATTGAGATAGTGAGAGAGAAAGGTATGGAGTATACAATCGATACTGTTCGATGATAAATGAAGATAACGTTTGTTTTTTTCTTTCTCAATTACTCTAATTTACAAAATATTCGAAAGAAATAATTAAATTCTGATTATAATTCCTCGATTCTATTCATTTCAAAAATTTTGGAATCATATTCCAAAAGGAAAACATCCAAATTTATCCAGGAAATTAAAGAAAAAATGAAAAAAGGGAGAATGGAAACAAAAAAATCAAACATTCAATGAAAAATCCTAATATTTCGCCATAATATTGGCTGGCCAAGAAAATTTCGATTTTTGTTTTCTTTTCTTTTTTCGAAATTTATTATCATCATTATGATCAACATCATCAAGGGAAAAAAAAAGATAAAAACTTTTCTTTTCAGACATAATTAAAAATCAGCTAATAATGAAAGGTGATAACGAGTTATGTGTTCGCTTGTGTGTGTATGTTTCAAATATAAAAAAGTATACGATTATTTCGAAAAGGGGAAAAAATGGGGCAATCATTTGAATTCAATACCAACAACAGGCAACAATCAAAATCGTCTACGTGTCGCCAGGAGAAAATGTAATGTTTAAAAAAAATTCCTTCAATCAAATAATTCAGGATCAATCAAAAAATTTTCAATTATTTAACTTTGAAAATCAATATATGAATTATCCAAGTGAAAGGGATATAGAGAGAAACAAAAAAAAATGGACATAATAATAAGAAATGACCTAATTGTTAATCGGTTGTTTGTGTCTAGGTCAATTTTTTTTCTTACCTGTTAAACAATTTAAAACGAAAATTTCCGTTTTTTTGTTTGTAAATCTTTTCATTTACAATTAAATTACACAATGATATACCAATGAAAGCGCCATCTTTAGAATGTAATTTTCAATGTTAAAATCAAAAATTGATTTTTGTTTATATTTTCGAAAAAAAAACCATAGAGGGCTGTTTAGTTTCGAAAAGAGAATTTCCATTTTTCAATGTAAAAAAAAGAGTTAAAAAAACTCAAAAGATGCAACAGGTATAGTGAATAATTTTTTTCGCATTGAATATTCGAATGAATTGTGATTTTTGTTTTTTGAACACCTGGATTCCTGAATTTTTTGTTGCGCAATAACCCAAAAAAATACAGTCTTTTGCAACCGTTCATATAGGATAGGATGAAAAAGAAAAAAAAACAGCGTGTTCTTTCGATGTTCGAATGTTTTTGTTGATCGTTTTTTGAAAATAATTATAATTGGCAATGATTTTCTCGAATTCGATTCGAATTTGGCTAAACTATCGAACAACAGAGAAATATTTTTTAAAAAAATATTATTATCGAATCGATTTTGTTTGTTTCTAAACATCATTCAAGAAACATTGATCATCCATTTTCGTTGTCATCATCAATTTAATAAATAAAAAAATTGTAAGTATGAAATGATATTTTTTGGGTTCGAAATTGTTTTTTTTCTTTCGAGTTATGTTATTCATTATAAAGTTATCCTTGATGGATTATTTATTTATTTTTTGTTGAAAATGTTTTCAACAAAAAAAAATGTCTGTCGGCATGAATAGATTGCTACATTTTATTTGTAGAATTGCAGTTATTTTTTCCTGCGATCGAATTACTTTCACCAATTCATTCTTAGGTTTCGAACACACATTTGATCTACATATATTGATGATGTTGATGATGATGATGGTTAAATATATACCACAGACATTTTAGAATAAGAATAATATTTTGATTGAAATCAATCGGAGGCGACGCGAACTGATTATTATTATTATTATATCCGATCCCGTTTTGTCATTATTGTGTTGCTTTACACAATACGAAGAAAGGAATGAACAAGTTACGAAAAAACAAACATTACTGCCATATATTCCTTATATATTGGTGCATAGGAATCAAAACTCCGAAAAAAAACGAGAATGTTTTTCTTTAGATTCTGTTTTACATATGCATGAATGTTAACGAAAAAAGAATTTTTTTTTGTGAATTTATCAATGACATTGTGTTGACAACGATAAGAACGTTTAGTTTGAAATGAATTTAAAAAATCCTTATCGAATCAAAATCATTCGAATTTTTTTTTATAAATAACGGTGAATTTCATCTGACCAAAAAAGAAAAATCCTTCATAATAAACACTGCCACAATAATTTATACCACTTGTATTACGGATTTTTCGATTATCAACTTTATCATCATCATCATCATTAATGATAAACAATCTTTGACAAAAAAAAAACAATTTTTGAATCAAGTTGACATTTGTCTGCTATTATTATTATTATCATTAACTTATTCTATTATATTTTCAATTAATTTATCGATGATAATAATATATTGATTGATTGATTGATTGATTGTCTAATTGAATCTTGATTTTTATCATCAATTGTATATGTATAATATATGCACATGTTTTTAATCAATACCGAAAAGGTAATTCGTACATGTACATTATTATTTTTTTTGGTTATAACAGGATAATGATTCAATTCCTTTTGATAATATTAAAAAGGATTTTTTTCCATAGAATTTTTCCTAATTCATTTAGTTTTCATTTTTTGTTTGTTGATTCCTATTCAAATCGATTCAACAAGTTTTTTTTCATGAAACGTTATAAACTTATTTTTTTGATCTCCAATATCCTTTTTTTTCTTCTTTTTTCTTGTTTTTCCCCTTCCTCAAATAGCATCTTGAGTTTTTTTTTCTTTAAGGATATATTTTCTTGTCTTTTTTTTTGATTTTATCACCATTTTCATTTATTTGGCTTTATAAATTTTTTTCCCTCATCTTATCATCATCATCATCATCATCGTAATTTTTTTCAAACATTATCATCATCATTGGCGGCGACGGTGACGATCGACCACTGGATCGACTTTAATTGTTCACTACATCGATAATTCATCAGAACACTGTACCTGTGAATGGTGTGTTTATTATATTTGAATGTAAATCAATCAAATAAATGGATGTGAAAACATTCTCTTGTTGAATATCGTGCAATTTTTTTTTGTTTTGTTTATTTTTTGTCAATAATATCATCAATTATATTTACAAGACCAATATCAATGTAAGTGTAACGATATTCAAATGTTTGTTTGATTAATTGCTCATCAATAAATCAATCATTATTGTTGGTTTTTTCTATTTTTTTCTTTTAGCTAACTGCTAACGATATTGATCAGCCATCATTTTCCCATTATATTTTTTGCTTATTGATTTCTTCATCAACCAGCAAAAAAAAAAAGATTTCTTCATTGATCATTTTTTCAAGTGAATTGATAATTATGAATTATTATTTACATCTGTATAAATATCATTATCATTATCTTCATATTTTCTCATTGTATCATAATCAACATTTGATATAGACTATTTTGACATTTTACAAATGAAAAAATCTTCAATTTGTTACAATTTTTTTTTAATTCGATATTTCAATAATTGATACAAACAAACAATTCATGTTTTTTCATCTCTCTAATTTTTTTCGTTGTGTCATTCGGCTATCAAAATAACAAGAAAAAACAACCAAACATTCATCATTTAGTACGTCTTTCCTATTTTGTGTCATTATTACATCATTCATCAATTATTATTATTATAAACTCTTAAAATTCAAATATATAATACCTCATCATCATTAGTTTCTTTCTTTCATTTGAGTTTGATTCAACTTGAAACTTAACTGTGATGATTATTGAATTATATCAATCAATCGTTGAACGAGTTTAATTTGTTTTGTTTTTTTTTTGCGAAACAAAATTTATTGTGATTTATTAGTTCATCAAATCTCATCATCTTTATCATCATCATCAATCGATCATCTTTATTCTGACTTTTATCCAGGTAATCATTGAATTCTTGATTATAAATTTTTCATAATTGAAAAAAAAACAAATCATTTCAACATAAATTGAACAATTTTATCTTAATTTTATGTAGTGATCACACAAAAACAACAACTTTTTTTTTATCTTGTCAGGTGAAAAAATGTTTTTTTGACAGATCTATCTGAAAAGAGATAAGAATACTTGAGGCTACTGTTGTTTATATCGAAATTTTATGTTCCATTTTCGATTGATATCGATTATATCGATTTCATTTCATTTTTCGAAAACGGACAAAATTGGCTAAAAAACAAATTTCAATTAAGAAAACTCAAAATTCATCATCATCATCAGTTCTCATAGAGTTATACACATTTGAAATCCTGGAACTGAATTTATTATTTCATTTTGAGAAAAACATTTTTTTTAATGACTAAAACATTTTATGAACTTGTTTTATAGTTGGTCAAGTTTTATTTGTTTACATTTTTTAAAAATATTGAATTGACCGTTTTGTCAGTTTACGTGCAATTGATCTTGTTCCAAAAAAAACGTGTGTCAACCACAGCAACAATTTTGATTTCAATATCCTCCTTATTTGATGTTTGTTTTCTTGTTTGTAATGATGATCCTTAATTTTTTTAAATATTAATTCTCTTAAATCATCATCCATTAAATTATTAATTTCTATACTTTACCGGAAATGTACTTTTCAAATTAATAGTTCCTATCATTTATGAACAACTTGTTATGATTTGATTGGATCTTTATTTAAAAAAATATAACCATCGTGATTGGTAAATATCATTTTTTTTCAACACCGTCATTAAATCATGCGGCGGATACATATTATGATATTGAAATTGATGATTCTTCCTTTTACGCATGTGTATTTCGAAAATGAATCGACGATTTTTTTCAGCATTTTTTTTTCGCGCAGCAGCAATAAATATTGATTTTTTTTTTACTCGTCTGCATTTGTAACTCATGTACTAACCGCTGCCTGATGTATTCAACATGGTTTTTTTTTTATAACCATAAAGCAATGGAAATGTTGGATTCGATTTTCTTGTTATGTGTGGTGGTTGGGGAATACATGTGCCAATAGCAACAGCAAATGAATTGTGGATGGAAAGAATGATATTTTACGTTGGTACGTGTGATGAACAAATGATTATGGCAACGTGTTGTGACCCTTGTGTATATTTTCCACGTTGATTTCTTTTTTTTTGTTCATTGGAATCCAGGTTGTTCGGATGAATTGTTTATGATTTGAAAAATGGATCAATGTCTTGAAAATTATGTGTGTGATCCTGATTTGTTTTTGGTTTTATCACCAGTTGTAATGTTTATGTTTTTTGCTGATTTGAAATAAACCATCCTGGAATCCAATCAAATGATCTCTTCGTTAATGATTACTTTTCATTTTCATGTGGGATGTTTTCGAACGGAAAAATAAACAATTCAATTTCCGTAAGTTTAATCTAATTTTTTTTTTCATTTTGCTTGTATAAACTTTACCAGGGGATTTAATTATCATGAAATTGGTATATTTTTTTTTTGACATGACATTCATTATTTCTCTATCTCTTGGTGTGTGTGTGTGTAGTATTAGTAGGATGAGGATTTCCTTTGTTTTTTTTATGTGAAACACATAAAATCAAACAAACAACATGTTTAGTTGTCAATAATTTTTGATTTTTTTCAAATGTTTAATTCTTTATGGTAAATTTTCATGTTTTTTTTTCGGGCACAGAATTTCAAAGGGTTCAAGGACATTTTTGTTGTTTTGCTCTTAGTTCTTCGACTATAGTTTCTTCAATGTTTTGTCAATAATCAATTGGCTTTAGGCCAAATTTTATAATTTGAAAAAAATAATCCTTTTTTACTTTTTTTTTCTCCGCCCTGTCTACTGATCAGGTTTTTCAAGAATATCATCTTTTTTTTGATGATAATATGAATCATAATTCAAAATTTTGTATGTATTTTCGATATGAATGGAATATCGATTTTGATTTATTTAATTTTTTTCATAAAAGCTTTATTAACAGAATTTGGTAAATAAACACGTGGTTCCAAATTGAATAAAAAAAAACGTTGGTTCATTCGCTTATTTGTCCGAATTATATAGAACACACATGTATTATTTAAACGGGAAATATGAATTTGATTATTTTGTTGTTTTTTTGCATGTTGAAAAGTATATCTGGAACCGGTGATGATGATGATGGATACTATAGAAATTTAATACCACTATCATTATAAGATAGTAGTAGAATGGAATTTTAACTTTCATTTGTTTTACATGAAATTTTCCTGCATTTTTTTTTGTTGTTGTCGTCTTTCATATTTATATACTACTTCTATTTGAGCTATCACCTTTGTAAATGTTTCGCCATGTATTTTCAATATATATAAAAAATCCCAAATCAATGTGTTTTTTTCCAACAAGAAATGGTAGTGGTATTTAATTTTTATTTTTTTTTAAAGAAAAACATGATGATAATGATGATGATGATGATGAAGAGCAAACACATGCACACACGTCGACAATAACAAGCAAGAAAGAAATAATCATTTCGAGTTATCATCATCTTCATCATTGACATCGACAACGCGTTTTTTTGAAAATAATAATGTCCAAGTGTATATGTGTATCGTAAATGATGATATGATGGTTGGTGTGTTTATGTGTTTTTGACGATTCTAAACGCGTTTGTGTAATAATCAACAAACAAACAAACAAAAAATGCTGCCTGTATATGATATCTATGTGTGTATGTATAATGCTTAATTTTTTTAAAAATATTTTCCTTTAATTTATTTTCGATTTTCTCATTGGTTAATGTTGTTGTTGTTGTTGTTGTTATAGAATTGTTTGTTTCCATCATCAACTTTATTCGATCCTAATATATATCTTTTTTTTCTATTTTTCCCCAAAAAAAAATATATTTTTTCCACCACTATCATCTCTCTCATTTGTTGTTTCGGTCTTTTTTTTATCATCATTTTTTTCCTATACTATCTTATGGTTGATCATTCGTCGGTTATGATGATGATGATGATGATGGTTATGTCGTCGTGGTGGCGGTGTTGTTGTTGGTGGTGGTTACAGATTGTCGTTCTTTCGGTGTGATTTTTTGTTTTTGTTTTTTCAATGTTTGATGTGTGTATGGTGTGCTGTACAACGAGTGAAATAGATATTTTTTTTCATTAAAAAAAAGAAAAGAAGAAAAAAAATTTATTCATCCATCTCATTCGATCGTTTTTTGGTGTGTTATTTTTATTATATTTTGTTTGTTTGTTGGAAAATCACATCATCATCATCAGCTAAAAATCATTCACAAACACACGAGCTAAAACCACTTTCACACACCGATAATTTGTTGGTGTGTGTGTTTATCATCATCATTTTTCTATAATTCATTTATCAATTTTTTTATTGAGTAAAAAAGAGACAAAAGAAAGTAAAAGCAAAATCCACACCAATATTCGATGATTGTCCTTTCGGTTTGTCTTTTTTTTTGTGGTTGTGTGTTTCATTGAAAAGAATCTTGATTTTGTTGTTGTTGTGAAATCCCGATTGAATCATAAGGTAATTTAATGATAATTTTCAAATATATTTAGGAAAAAGGAAGTCATTTTTTTGCTGTATTTATCTTTTTCTTCCAATTTTTTTTGATAACTCATTAAAAAAAACTAAATCGAACAGAAAATGATCCACTTGAGACAATTGATGATGTATATGAGTGGTGTATTTTGGTTGTAATCTTTTTGGCATCTTATTTTTTTGCTAAAAATTTTCAATTAAATTATGTTTGTGATAAAAGAAAAGAAAATTAAATTTTGTTTTTTTTTTTTTACTTTTTTCAATCTGCCAAATCATCGAATATTTTTTGATTTCGAACAATTAATTTTTGATAAATTAATTAAAATTATACTTTTTTTCATTTCTTTTTTCCCTGATTTATTAATAGGCTCCATCATTTAGAATTTTTGGACTCTATCTTTGTTTCATTTGTTTGTACAAAAAAAAATATATTTCGACTGAATTTTAGACCTGAAACCGAATTTTGGAACAAGATAAATAACATCAATCGCATCACATTCATATCTATTCAAGTTTTTTTATTCATCAATTCATTTGTAAATATATGTTTGTTTTATATTAGCGAAAGAAAATTTTTTTTCAATTTTCCTCGATATTGGTGTGTGTGATTTTGCTCGATCGATCAAAAGTGTTTGTTGGTGTGTTTGTGTGTGTGTTGTCGATTTAATTTGATTGGAAAAGAATTTGAATGGATATTATAATGAAGTTAACTGAAGACGACGATTATAACAAAATGCCAGCCCCGGTAGCGACAACTACGAATAGTAACCATAATGCCAGCAATTTAACAACAAATCCTGTTACAACCACCAGCATAACAATCAAAAATAATGCCAATAAACAAGCAACAACATCAATAGATTGTATAATAAATCATGGCCAAAATAATATCAATTTGGCTAACGGTGATATGTCATCATCATCATCATCAATGAAATCCACTGAGCTATCATCCAATATCAAATCAACACTGGATTATCCGAAGCTGACCAATGAAAAATCGACCACGACAACAACTGCCATCAATAACAACATCACCGATAGCAACAAATTAGATAACGATTGTTTAGATAACAATAAAGCTCAGACATCATCGTCATCAACACCGATCGTAGCCAATGATAATGTAATTATCCAAAACGGTAATGGTACATCATCACCATCGTTATTGGATCATCATAACACTCATCTGACACAGCCGCAATCGCAAGTGAACTCTGTTGTTCCGAATGCTTGGATTAATTCACCTGGAAAACTTGTGGCTAAATCAAATAATCAAACAGCTCCAACACCATCTTTATTACCACCATTACAATTATCAACATCGTCAGCCAACAATAGCCATACAACTAATACTAAAACTTTGTCAAATAATACGCATAACAACGGTATGTGTACAATGACCTAAAATTGACCCAAAATATAGGAAAAAATTTTGATATTCTATTTAGATGTGAGCGCAAGACAAAAAAAAACCGCATGGTCCTGTTTGTGTGTATCCTATCTTTTATGAACAGATCAATTTTTTCGTATGTGTGTGTTTTTTATGCAAAGGAAATGCGAAAGAAAGTGTGTATGTCTGTTCTTAGGGTAGTGGTATTTAATTGAATTGCATTTCAAATGTTGCTTTGAATCCTTGTGCTAGTATCACCGAAAAAATATAGGATTTTTAGCAATATCCAAAAAACATCATGTTAAAAAACTTTTTGTTTTTTGAATTCAGAATTTATGGATAAAGAATATATGATCTTGAAATTTATTTTTTTTATCGATGAAAATAATAATCAGACTAATGAGAAAAATAAACTATTCAACACTAATAAGGTCTACCACAAGAGAAAAAAAATATCCCGTATATGAAAAGAATGATTGGCGTTTGAATGAGTTTGTTTTTATATTTGTTTGCTTTTTTTGTTGTATACAAATTAAAAGCATTAGACATAAAATAAATATCATTATTATGATAATGATAAGTTTCGTTGAGCTTTTTTTGAATTGATGATGAAAAGTTATAGTAGCTTTTATATATATAGATATAATCATGTCGAAAAAAATGTACAAAATTGAAAGTATATTTATTATGAGAAAACAAGAAGTGAGAAGAAAATAAAAGTCGACAGACAAGAGCAACAATCTTGAAAAAAATACATTAATATGACAACTATTTCTGATAGAAACATCGAGCAATATTTTTAAATAATAATAAAGAGAGAGATAGGAAAGAGAAATGAAACGATTTGGATATTTATTTGTTGGAAAATGCTTTGCTAGCTTTGTTGCTAATGTGTGTGTGTGTATTCTATTTAGGAGCCTTGATCATCATCATTATCACAATCCGTTGTTGTTGAGTCAATTTTTAAATCTAATAAATGGATGTTACATTGAAAAAAAAACAATCCTCAGAATTTGAAGAAAAATAACTTACAAATCCATGATTTCGGTCGTTTTTTTTCTTTTGATTCGAAATCGATTTTATTTTTAATTCCGTGTTTCAAATAGAAAAAGAATTTTCTACAATTTTATGTAATATGGTATTTTATTTTGTGATTGTTTGATTTGTAATCCTATTTAATGACGTATTTATTATATGGATTTCGTATCAATTGATTACATTCGTACAAAACTTTTTTTTTGTTGTTAAAAGTGTTTTGCTATTTTGACCGACTTTCATTGTTGGTTGATATTTATGTTTTACCCATTCATTCATTGTGTGAATATTCTAATGTTTCATGTTTAGTGAATGGAATAACAATTATAAAATTCATCTAGAATATACTATCCGTAAACGCGTAATATCAACAAATTCCGTATAACCAGACATCAAACATTCCGTATACTTATCCTTAATTGGCTTTTTTTTGGTTGTTTACTTTGCGCCTACCACACATCATATTATCCATTTTTTTCTGGGCTTTTTCTCAAATTTTCATCATTTTTCTAGCATATATGACTTGATCATCATCATCATCCTCACAATTCTTAATTTTTAAGCTAACTGTTGAAAAAAGAATCTATTTTGGTGGTGCATGTGTGTGTTTGTGTGTTTCGGGTTTAGGTTCAATTCTATGTTTGTATGTATGTTTGTATTTATTATGAGGATGATGTGAATTTAAAAAATTTATTCATTTTTTTTTAATTCTTTAACATTTATATAAAGATTCATCAACCGAATGAATTGCTCTATGACATCCAGAAAAAAATGTGTATTGCTATATAATATGTTTGTTTGTGTGTGTGTGTGACAATGAATGAAATGATATATTTATCATTTAAATTGCATCAGTTTTTCTATGATTTTTTTTTTTTTTTGCTTACTAGCTAGCTTTTTTGTAATTGTTAATGGTAATAAATTTCATTCGGGTTAGGTCTTGTTTAGTGTTCGATTAAGACTATAATAAATAAATGAATGAAGAAGAATTTCACAACAAACAATTTAGTAATTTGAGGGAAATTTTCTTTTCACTAACCTGAAAAACTATTAGCCTGTATTAACTATTATCAATCATATTAAGAGTTGGCTGATGAAAATTCTGCAATAATTTCATCCTTTTTGTTATGTTCAAAATATTTCGACTTGATCCATCAATTAAAAAAAAAATGTTTGCTTTGGAAACAAAAACAAAATTATAATGTACGAGATTAGATACAAAATATTCAGAGTCGTCTTTTACACTTTTTTTTAATGGTTCATTTGCATTTCGTTTATTTATTTATTTTTTTTGTGGAGATGAATAGATATTTTTTCTTTTGTTTCCTTTTTTCTTTGTTTTGAAGGTTTCTAACCTTAATGTCAAATATGTATATTTTTTTTCCTTTAAAAAAATTCACATTTGTTTTTACCATGAATCAAGTCCATCTTTTAATTTTCGTCAGGATCGAAAATAAAAAATGAAACAAAAAAAAAGAATGGATGTTGTTGTTGTGTGAAAGAGCTTTTCTCTTTATTCGAGAACAATTTTTTTTTTGAAGAAAATAAAAAATTAAATGAATGAATGAATGAATGGTGACGAAAGAGAGAAATTCGAGCAAATGAACAACGAATGTGTGTTGTTGTTGTTGGAGAAAAATTGGAGAGACCAAAAAAAAAACGCTCACTTCTTACACATACACGCATGTTGAGCCATAAAGAAAAAAAAATACATAATTTCAAATGATTATTTGCTATTTATAATATAAATTTTGTTTTGTTTTTCATTTTCTATTTTGATACGTGTGTTATGTTCCAAACGACGATATAAACAAAACAAACAAATAAACAAAAACAAATTAGGTAACAATAAAAACGTTATTCCATCATCATCAACAACAACAACAATATCATCATCAGTGATGCCTATTTCTTCCACAAGTACCAACACAATTGTCGGTACAACAATATCAACAAATACAACGGCGACAACATCATCATCATCAACATCAACGATAAATAATAAGAAATGGTCATCGAAAAATGGAACAAATTCTGCATCTAATTCTGTCATCAGTAATAACAGTAGTAGCTGTACACAAAATGCTTCAAGTAATCAGAAAGTATGTTGATTGATTTTTGTAAAAATCTAAATAAATTGATAATTGATGAATCGTTTGTTTCAAATATATAGGATGAATACAATTTAAATTATAGTGAAGATTGGCCTTCATTAAACGAAGTTAACGAGGTATTTCGAATGAAATTATGCTATGATGAATTCGTATTGACGTTTGTTGTTTTTTTGTTGTTGATAAATTTTAGCTTTCATTGAATTCTAAACGTAACTCTGCCGGTGAAACGATGGTTATCAACAATACCAATCCAAATAACACTGAAGTTCTATCTTCTTCATCGTCATCATTTTCAACACCATCATCACCGAATATAATTGCTCAAAATTGTGAATCCAAAGGATTGAATAAAACCTCATCTGTTTCGACGTCATCTTCACAATCAGCAAACACCTTTAATAGTAATGATAACAAAAAATTAAGCAATGATTCATCTTTACCAAATGGTATTAGCGTTGTCCAATCTTCGTCGATTCAAGATGATTCTAATGACGATGGTTCAACTACATCTTCAAAAGACGCAAATTTAAATTCATCTGGTCAAGGCTTAGACAGTGGAACGTCGGGTTCCAATAAAAATAAAAAGAAAGGTTAGTTTGTGCATCAAATTGAATTTACACTAATAAAACCTAAATCATTATGATGAAAACACGGAATTACCGTCTTAGTTTTAAATCATGCAGAAAATTTTTTATGGCTGCTTTTTATCTGATTTTCTATTCATGAAAAACAGTAAAAAAACATTATTGAACAATCGATTAATTACAATATTTTTCTCTAATAAACAGGACAAAAGAAATGGGTGCCATTAGATGGTATCATTGGTGCACCACCGGCCAAATTACGTGGTAAAATTGTCAATAAAACCAATGATTATTATTCTGTCGGTGATTATAACGGAATGAATGGATATGCTGATCATGAATATAAATCCGGTGCTGTCGGTGGTGGTAACCGTTATGGAGGCAATGGTAATTTATCTCGCAATCGATCTCAACGACGAGGTGAACGTGGAACTGGCAATGGTGGTACCGGCAATCGTGGCGCTGGAAATGCTTCAGGTTCGAATGTAATCCATAACAATGATGACAATCATCGTGTTGCTGCTGCAAGTGCTAATGGTGGTAAAATCGGTTCGTCAAATTTTCCACATTCATCCTCAACATCTAGTTCGAATGGCACCAGTAATAGCAATATAAATAAATCAAATGCTCAATCAGAAACAAGTGATTCATCATCGTCATCTTCTAATCCGAATGCGAACACAAATAATAATGTAAACAATCATCACAATAATAACAATAAGAAAAAGAATCCATTATCTGGAAACGGACATTCTACGGTGAATAATCCTAGCGATTTACATCATCCATTTTCTCATCATCATTCGCATCCACCCCAACAGTCGCATCAGCATCAACACCAGCAACATCATCATCACCCAATGAATGTTCAACAACAGCCTCCATTGCCAATATATCCACGACGTAATACAAATGGTGGTATGCGTGGAAGAGCACGTGGTGCTGGATTAATTGGTGGTGGCCGTAATCTTAATCGAAGTCGTTCGCAATTATCTAATGAATCTACTGTTCCAGTTGTTAATCCGACTACAGTCATCGTTCCGCAACAAACAAGTGCAAATGTTGGTGCAATTTCTGGAACTGTTGTCACTGCAGCGATGCCACCACCACCACAGCCATCTGTGGTTACTAATACGGTTGCTCCCGTTGGTACTGGTGTTACAGCTCCAAACATTCATCCGGATGAATATGCTGCTGCTTATCCTCAATATACTGCTTATGATTTTCCCGCACAAAATATACGACCGGATTTGAATTTACCTCTTTCGGCTGGATTGCCACCGGCACCAACACCAACGGCGGCTTTTTTGCCTGCCTCATATTATTACAATACTCCTTTTGTTTATGGACCTGATGGTATCAAAGAAATGTTGCGTTCACAAATTGAATATTATTTTTCGGAAGAAAATCTTCAACGAGATTTTTTTCTCCGACGTAAAATGGATGAGCAGGGATATTTGCCAATTTCTTTAATTGCTTCATTCCATCGTGTTCAAGCATTGACACAAGATGTTACTTTGGTCGTTGAAGCATTATCTAATTCAACGGCTGTCGAAGTTGCCGATGGTATCAAAGTGAGAACACGCAATGATCCACTGAAATGGCCAATTGTAAGTAGCATTTGATAAATACCAGACCAAATTCTAATTTATCTATATTTGCCTTTTCTATATGAAATTTGATTTCAATATAGTCGGATAATCTTAGCGCTGCGGCTGCAACTGCTATTCATCCAGCCATGGTAATGGCAACAGCTACTTCAGTTATGCAATCACATCAACAAAGTCCAGCAAATATTGCTTATCAACCGAATGATGAGATCACAAATAGCAATAGTGATTTCAGTATTGTAAATAGCAGTGATGATTCGACAAAAAACCCAGATGCTTCGATAAAGGATACTGTTGCTAATGATAATCAATCAACAAGTGATGTTAATTCTATTCATGTAACAAATATTGCTCAATCACAACAGAAAACAAACTGTTCTTCCACAGCCACGGACACAATATTGAATGATGATGAAATCCAACATGGAAAACAAGTGATCACTAATCAATCTCAGATTCATTTGGCCGAGTCGACCCACTCTACCGCTATGGATGGTTCTGATGGCCCGACGACTACATCAATCTCTGACAATAACACCGATTCTCGATCACCATCCTCTGATATGCAACCTTCAGTTGTCGAGACAGTCAATTGTGATAAATCTGAACAAGGTTCGTGTTGCAAACATTAATTCTATCAATTATTGATTTTTGTCTACTTTTAGTGAACAATGGTGATGCCAAAAGCAGTTCAATCGATTTGCCAAATCGTGAACCAGCTTTTAATAGCGTTCTAAATGCTAACAACAATAGTGATAATGCTAATGTGAATGCCACAACAACTGCATCGGCGATAAATGAATCTGAAGATTGGAAACCAGTACGTTCGAAAAAGAACAAATCTCGTGCCAATAAATTGAATGAAAATTCATCTCATCAATCATCTTTGAATTTTAAACCAACCAATCGATCAGCAGCCAAAGAAGATTTACCATTTTTATTGGATGAGGATGTCAATGATTGTGATGATTTACAACTAGCTGGTCGTCGTAAATCATACATTGACTACTCTGATTATGATGATTATGATGAAATTAGTGATCAAGATTTGAAAAAAATCATATTGGTGACGCAAAGCCGTAAAGGCAGTCATTTGAATGATCGAACTGGTGATTGGACGACTCGGGTCAAGATGACTCAAGAGATGGCAAAGATTATCGATGATGGTTTATTCTATTATGAACAAAATTTAATGCTGAATCAACAAGGTGCTAGTGCTAAGCAGCATAAAACATTGGGATACATTTCTCGTAAAGATTTTGAACTTTATTCTGGATCTCCTAAAGATAAAAAGGAAAATTCTTATTCAACTCCACCTCCACCACCTCCTACACTGAATGATGATATCGAATTGGACGAAGTATATACAACCACTGGAGATCATACATTATCGGCAGAAGAGCTTCAACAATCAGCCAGATCGTTGCAACGGAAATCTCCAAATCCTCGTTTCTATCTAGCCCCAGAGCCTCATGAACTTCCAGCCGGTACACCACGCAAACAAAAAACTAGACATTCTAGTGATCCACCGATTGAACCACATGTTGGTTGGTTATTGGATGTTCGTGATTATGACACTGCTTCGATGAATAATGATGCCACAGTAGGCACGAATAATAAAAATGAAAAAGTCGTCACCACTTCAAATGTAACGAACATTAAATCCCAATCAACAAACACTGGTTCAGTGTCAACTAGTCTTGGTTCCACTCCTCAATCACTGCCAAAGTTTGAACATCCATCTCATGCCTTGCTGAATGAGAAGGGATTCACTCAATTTATCTATCATAAATATCGTCAAAGGTGTATCAAAGAACGAAAACAACTTGGTAATTATTTTTATTCAAAAAAAGCAATTATTTATAATTATAATTTATAATCCATAGGCATTGGTCAGAGTCAAGAAATGTTTACATTATATCGATTTTGGTCATTCTTTTTGCGAGATTTTTTCAATCGCAGCATGTATGACGAATTTAGACGATTAGCAAATGAAGATGGACAAATGGGCTTTCGTTATGGTTTGGAATGTTTATTCAGATTCTATTCTTATGGTTTGGAGAAACATTTCCGATTAGATTTGTTCAATGATTTTCAAACAGAAACAATCAAGGATGTCAATGCTGGTTAGTATAAATAATAATAAAATCGAATCAGTCCATCCGTCATTTTTCTACTCAAAACATATTTAATTTATATTTTGAAATAATGTGTTTTGTAATGAATGGATGAGATAGAAGTTTTTCGAGCTTATTTAAATTCAATCTATGACTTTTACAATGTCGATGGTTGGCCGCAATTTGCTCACATTTTTCTTTTTCTGTAACCTAGGTGAATTATACGGGTTGGAAAAATTTTGGGCATTCCGTCAATATTATAAAAATTGGTGTTCAATCGTATCTCATGTGGATCCATTCCTGCTTAAAAAACTTGACGAATTCAAATGTGTAGACGACTTTAGATTAGATGTATGTTGTTTTTTTTGTAATTTTATTATTTTATTGTTCAATTCATTGATTTAAATTAAATTTAGGCCGAAACGATAGCTCATCGTGAAGCACAAAATCGAAAAAAGCGAGAAGAATATTTGAAAAACTTTCAACATGAGCAGCAACAAAATTTTTCGATGAAGAAAAAATGTGATGGCAATACAAATGTTTTGTTGGATAAAAATTCGAATAGAAGGCCTCAGAATACAGTGATTGGTGATGAAAATAAGCATCAATTTTCAAAACAAGATAATAGGTAGAATTTTAAATTATTGAAATTCATCTCTAAATTGAATTCATTACATTTATAGAACACAGTCATCTAAAAGTAATAATGGATCAAACAAACCAAGCAAAGATGCCAAACAGCCAATGCGACAATCGAATAATTTGCAAGCGAATAATATCAAATCGGTACCAACGATACCACATGCAGCGCCAGTGAATTCACCGACATCATTCGCTGCAATTGTTGCTTCAAAGCCAAAAAAGATAATAGAAACTGGAACGACAGCTGCAATTTCAAATAATGAAAATTCGTCTACAAAATGAACATAATCAATAAAAGAATATTTTTTCGTACAATCATTAATGTAAATCATTTTGGTGGAAAAATCATCTCACATCTTATAAAACATCGATTTTTTATAATCATATGCGTATCGACAACCGTATTTGGATGTTAGTAAAATAATCAACAACATAAGAATATCGAAAAAAAAACGATCCGAACCAAGAAAAAAATGATTATCATCTTCATCTTAATCATCATTATTATTTTGTTGTTATACGATTATAATTATTGTATTTTGTGTTAAAACTGAAAATCTTGCTTGCTTCTTTAACGAATCAGTTTGGCTCATAATATTCGTCCATCATTCGAAGTTCTCCTGTAATTTTTGTCGCATCTTTTTTCTTCTATTTGCAACTTTTTCTTGTTGGCCCAATATTTTTATCCATTCATCATCTTTCATTCTCTCTTTGTCTTCGTTTCCTTCAAGCCCAAATGAAGATGCTATAAAATCTTTCATTTGTGTTAGATCACAATTCTTCGTTTTGGTCGTCTTCCAAGAGCGTGAAAAATGCATAAATCTTTTGCGCTAAAGTTTTTTTTCTATTGAACACTGTTATTCAAAATTGTAGAATAAAAAAGTTTTCATCGATGTTGATGATCATGGTGACATGAACGTTCTACAGCAACATCAAGAATTTAACTGATTCTTCAAGAAAATATTTGTATGGGCGTCTTTTTTTCAAACCCCTTGCGCCAATTTCCAGGCAAAATCAATCAATCCGTTATTTCATTATTATTTTTTGCTTCTCAAATCTCGTTATCTTCATCTTTTTCGTTTTTCTTTTTCATACTCATCACCCACTCGGTGTCTTAATTTCAACGGAAGAATGTCATCATCATGAAAATTGTGAATAACGTCATTCTGGATTGACAATATATATTGTGCCTTTACTGCTGCCCATTTTTTTTCTAATGTTCCAAAATTATCAGAGAGGGGTTTCAACAATAAATAAGGAAAAAAAATTACCATCACCATCATCAACAACTGAATCGTCTATATATAGAATGTTTTTAACATCGAAAAAAAAAATTTTCTATTCAATTTATTCAATACACATTTCCATAGTTAACCATCCCGAAAAATGATTTTGCATATTCCTTTCTCGCTCTTTTTTTCCTTCAGTTTTTTTTCATAATCTACTACCCTACTAAAAGTATAGGGCCCTAAACTAGTCCAAATATATAAATATATTTTTTATTTTTTTGTTTCAAAATAATTATAATCATTACATTATAACACAGCGATAGATACATACAAATCTACCATTAGAAAAATGATACCAATTGTTTAATAAAACAAAAAAAAAAAAAAAATTAATCTGATTTTTTTCAATTTCATCATCTATGGCAAACAACAGTAACAAACAAGCAAACAAACAAAAAAAAATCGAGTGGCCAATCTATATTAGAAAAGAATTCTTATCGTTATTTGTTTTTTCTTTCTTTTTTTTTCACTTTATTTTTTCTGCATCTCATCTCATCTCAATCTCTCGACACCAATCAAAAATAATCTAATGATGTGATTCACAATATATATAATTTATATTCTCAGAATATGAACAAAACAAAACAAAAAAAAAATTCTAACCACATTCATTACAAATGCAAACCGTATATACATTTTTAAAAAAATATTATTGATCAGTGTTTGTTTATTTTTTTCGCGATCTTTGTTCTTCATTTCTTTTTTTTTGCATCGCTCTATCTTTTTTTGTACAGTAATTTTTTTTCCTTTGTATTTCTTCTTTTCATTTTGATTACTTTGTTTTATTGTCTTGGCAGACAAAAACAAATATATTTTTTTTCTCTCTCATTCTCAAGTGATTGAATTCAGATAAATATATGGCTTAATAGTACACAATTTTGTTTGTCGTTTACATAGGAAAACAAGCTGATCAATATATAATTTCATCATACATGATCGGTATTTTTTATTTTGGGTGTCCGATTCATTTCCTGTTCTGTTCTGTTATCTTCTTTTCATCTTACAGGTTTATCATCAACTGTTTTTTTTCTTCTTGCTTTTCTACTTTGTGAAAATGGAAATTTGTGATGAATCGTGAAAAAATTATTATTATTAAAATTAGCCATCACCACCACCATTATTCATTCATTCATCCATCCATCACATTTATTTCTTCAACAATTTATTAGTTACATTTTTTTTTCTCTCGTACAATATATTGTCAACAACAAAAAACAAAACATGAATCGGGAATAATGGGATGGTACATACACACACACACACACAAACATTGAGATAGATAAATTTGTATTAAAACTTATTGTCACTTAATTTTTTTTCGTTTGTTTGTTTGTTTGTTGAATTTACACATTAAATCAAGTTATATTCTTAATTTTTTTTTGAAACAAAAAGCAAAAACGATTGATTTTTTTTTGGATTGATTGTGTTTAAAAACATTATAAATAATGAAAATAATAAAAAAAATTTGAATATATCTTTACCCGTACATCTCATATGTGCCCACCTTATTTTCTGTCCGGCTCATCATCAGATACATTACATACATTACCGACACCGACACACACACCAAATTATAAATTATAATAAAAAACAAATGAAAAAAAAAGTTTATATTATACTCATACACTCAAACACACACTTATAAATTAAAATTGTGATTTTTTTTTCTTGCGATTATATAACACAAACAACAACAACAACAACAACAAAATTCATTTGACATTATTATTATTTTTGTTTATTTTGTTTGTTTCAGTGTGCAGTAGTTTATTTTTCTTTCGCTCTTTCTTTCATACTATTATCATTTTTTTTCAATTTATATCTTCTTCTTAATTTTCATATTACCACCAACACAACAACAACAACAACAACAACAGTATATCACTAAATTCACATAGAGACCAATTGAATTTTTCTTTTTTTAAATTTTTTTTTTCAAATGTGCAAATAACATTACAGCATACACTTTCCGCATTCATTTCACCTACACACACACACACACACTGGAGATTTAAACCATAAATTTACCTAGCCTTGTTCAACAAACAAAAAAAATTCAAATTATCTTTCAACTTAATACAATTTGTTGTTATATTTATTTTTCTTTACGATTAAAAACACACACAAAACAAAACAATAAAAATTATTATTTTATATTTATTTTCATTACAAACAACTACAAACAACAAAATTCTATATAAATTTTTACTAAAATTTTTTTTTTCTTTCTTTCAAAATTTACACAAAACAATGTTTTGTATCGTTTTGTTAATTGATAAATAAGTTTATGCTAGGTCCAAATTATTTTATTATTTCAAACAACAACAAAAAATTATATTTACACAATTTTTTGTTAAAATTTTTACATTTTTTTTTCTTGCAATTCAAAAAATGAAATTTGTCAAAAATCCTAAAGGCCTTGAATTCTCACATATATACACACGAAATATGACAGGAATCAATTCAAAAACAACAACAACAAAAACAATCATATTTTTTGATTATTATTATTATTCTCGTTGTAAAACAAAACAAAAAAAAATTTTCAAATAAAAAAAAAAATTTTTCTTCTTCATTAATTCATGAAACGCGTTTGGATTTTTTCTGGGTTGAAAGATTTTTGGGCTTTTTTTCTGTCTTTTGTTCGTTTTAAATATATGTTCTGATTTGAATGTCCTGATTTGATGCTGCCAGAAAAAGAAAAAAAAATTATGTTGCCAAAAATTTTCCATTGATTCCATTAGGCTTTGTTTTGTTTTGTTTTGTTCATCGTGTTTCTGTTGAAAATTTTATGAATTATTCCTCCCCCTCTCAAACATCATTCCCTTTTTTTACATGCTTTGATTGTGATTGTGTGTGTGTGTTGAAAACGTATTGACATGGTGGTGGTTCCTGCTGTTATGATAACATTGATATTTTCGTTTTTTTTATATCAAATTGTTGTCATCGATGTTTTTTTTTTTGGTTCTGGCTCAAAAAAACATTTTCAGATTCAAACACACACACACACACAAACACTTCAAAGAATTTAGATTGAAATGAAAATCAATTCTATATCAATATATATTGATTGTGAACAAGACAAAAAACAAAACAGAAAAAAACGAAAAAATTTTGTCAAAAATTGTAAAATTCATCACATTGTTCTGAAATGAATGAACCGAAAAGAGAAACTTTAAAATAAAATTGAAAATTCTTTTTTAACTAAAAAAAAGCCAAGTTCAATCTCATTATTGTCTTATTTTTTTATTTAATATCTCCTTCATTTTTTTTGGAAAAAAATGGAAAAATAAGTATTCCAAGAATTGCCAGATGAGAGAGAGAGAGAACCAGAATTCTACCCAAAAAAAAACGCACTATAGTCTCATTGAAAGCCAACAGCTCACTGCTGCTTCAAACATAAATTCTCAAGAATTTTTTTTTTTGTTTTTCAAAACCAATTTTTCTTTCCATCAATTTAGACACACGCACAACGGCCAAACAATTCTTCAGTTTTTCATTTTTTGTTTTCATTATTTCGAAACAAATACACGAACAAAGTATTATATTTCGTTTCTGGTAGAGAAAAAAAATGAATATGATTTTTTTTTCCTCTAATGGAATAACAATTCGCACTATTTTGTTTGTCATTATATGTGAATAAATGAAATACAAAACTGGTCAGAATTTGAATGAAAACAAAAAACAAAAAATGTTTTAAACAAAAATGTTTTAGATTGGATGGAATACAGCGAAAAAAATAGCAATTTTGGATATTAATAGATTTTTGTGGATGCTTTTTTTTTGTACCTGGGCGCAATCATTATCACAATTAATTAATAGTTATTTGTTCATCATCAGAGGAAAAATTTTCAATATATTTTTTCATTTGAAAAGTATTCATTTTTCATCTTTTTGTTGTTGTTGTTGTTATCATTTCCGTATGTATTTGTTTGATTTGAATGAACAGAAGAGAGAAAAAGAAAATCCCATTTCAATTGAATTTTATTCTTTTCTTCTTC